TCGCGGGGGGGTGGAAACCGGGGAGCGGGAGGCTTCCCAAGCGGGGCGGGGGCGGCGCGAAAGCTCTCCCTTGGAGCGAGGGCGGCGGCGGAGAAGGAGAAGGCGGGCGAGTGGGGGAGCTGAAAAGCAAGGACCCCCTCCCGCACCCGCCATCTTGTCTCCCCCCGGCCCTAGAAGCCAAGCTGCCAAGCCCCGCCTCCGCCACGCTCTCCAATTGGCCAGACCAGAGGAGAATTCCGCCCCTTGTGCTTCCCTTGGCCCTCCAGTTCCCCCTGACGGGCAGGTCAGGCGGCCAATAGGCGCTCGGCTCTCTGCCCCGCTAGTTCGCTGGCGCTCGCTTTCTCTGAGGGTCGGACTCCGCGTCAGTATGTCTCTGATGCCCTAGCCCTCTCTCTCCCCTCTGGGGAGGAGTTGTTATTTCCCTCCTTTATTCTTCTCTGAGGGGTCAAGATTCTTCTGAAAGAGGCGTCCCTTAAAGGGGCAGTAGCCTCGACTGGGGTCTCCCCTCGTCTCAGGAGTGCCTTGTGTAGAGTGCAGGAGATTCCGTCTAATTGCAGAAACTCCTGGTTCTGTGGGGGATCTGGGTGGGGTGAGCGAGTAGGGGACCAAGGGCTGCTGAGAACATCTCGGGGAGATGTTGGGGGTATTTTATAGGTATGTATGTGGAAAGAGCTGTGTAGGTTGAAAAACTCCCGCCAAAAAAAAACCGCGACTGTCAGCGCCTTGTGGGCGAAGCTCATTTCGATTTCCTCAGCTGCAGCCCTTCCTCCTGTAGGGTTTGCCTCCCGGCGTCTAGAGGCTTGGGTGGGACAGAAGAGGTCTGCATAGATACTTGCTGGTTGGTTGAGAGATTGCTGAGCTGCGGAGGAGGTGGCAGGTGGGAAGACTGTTCAGGGCTTGCTGAAGGGAGGGCTCTGTGAACTATGGAGGTAGAGGTCTGTCTCTCCTAGGAGCTCCCTTGCCTTGGGGGTGGTGGTGGTAATGAAGCACATCTGCTGGCCTGGCCTGCCTCTGGGAACTTGGTATTTGGAAGGAATCTCGTGGCCAAGGGTATCTGGAACCTGGACAGAATTGCTGTGATGATTCTGTTTCCTTGAGCTTCCAAATGGGGTGTGTGCCTGCCGTTCCTTGGGCAGGTTGTTTGTTTCAGTCACTTTGGGATTAGAAGGCCTTTTAAATAAGGATGTTGATAATACTTTATTAACAAACAGCAGCCCTTAAGAGGTAGATGTTATTAGCCTCATTACTGATGAAGTATGGAGTTAGAAGACTTATTCCGAGTCCCATAGGGCTAAGATTAGAACCTCGATTGCCCCAGAACCTCTTTTTGTACCAGACCACCTTACTGGCTCTGGGTTGAGTGATACCCTTCTGAGCTGCACAAGATGGAAAAAAATACTATCTCTATGTCATCCAAGGTGGTTGTGAGCAATACCAAAAGGAAAAGGGTTTTGTGATTAGTAAAAGTGTGTTAAATTATTATCATCACCCACTTTGTAAAGATGGTTGGTGCTGCAACCAAGATGATGAAATTGGTTTTTCCTCTTGAAAGCTCTTTCTCTGTTCATACCTTTCCAAATCTGTGCCCATACTGTGGGACACCATGTCCCCAAAGTCTTTCTGGTAGTAATGGCTTTGATAACCACTTACCCTAGTTCCCTCCATCCTGAGAATGTTGTGGAAAACTTTAGAGCTTTCTCTTTGTTTCACAAGGGTAGACTAGATGTAAGTATGAGGTAACAAAGTACTGGGAATTTACCTCAGATAATTGTCCCAGTCACCTTGGTCTTGGTTCCACTGAGGAACCCACACAGGACACTTACAACTGTAAAAATATTTTGGTGCTACTCCCAGAACTTGCAGGGTTTCTGCTTGGAAATATATTACTAGCCAATTATCCTGGATGCTTCTATTTGCAGGAAATGCCCTGCATACTGTAGTTTGAAGCCTTTGACCACATGTGATAAGCATTTTAGATGCCTTCACCCTGGACACAAGAGACAGGGCTTCTGGAGCTGGGCATGCAGGCACATGCTCATTAATCTCAGCTGCTTAGGAGGCTGAGGCAGGGAGACTGCAAGTCCCAGGCAACTTAGATCCTGTCTCAAAATAAAATTAAAAAGGACTAGGGATGCACCTCAGATGTAGGGTGCTTGTCTAATATGTGTGAAGCCCTGGGTTCAATCCCCAGTACCACTTAAAAAAAGTGGGGGGGTGGAGATAGGGCTTTTTAAAAAATATTTATTTTTTAGTTGTAGTTGGACACAATACCTTTATTTTATTTTTATATGATGCTGAGGATTGAACCCACGGCCTCGCCCATGCTAGGGGAGTGCTTTACTGCTGAGCCACAACCCCTGCCCAAATAGGGCTTTTGATTATGGTAAGATGGATTGGGAGAGGGCTCTAGACCTGTGAGTTTTCAGTCCACTAATGGGGCGTAGTGTTCAGGTATAGAGCTCAAAAATGGATGCTGTTCTTGTTTATTTTCTTTGAGACAGGATCTTGCAATGTTGTCCAGCTGGCCTTAAACTCTTGGACTCACGTGATCCTTCCACCTAAGTCTTGCAGGTAGCTGAGACTACCAATGTGTACCACTGTGGCCATCCTGTTTTCTCTTTCTGAAGTCTTTTTTTTTTTTTTTAATTATTTATTTATTTATTTTTAATCTTTCTGAAGTCTTAAGCACCCTCTCTTTTTTCACAGTTAGTGTCCCACAACCTTACGTAGACCATTTGAACATTAGCTCTTTCCATGTGTCATATTGTAAGGATCTGTTTTCTTTCCCTTCCCTTCAGACATAGCACCTTGAAGACAGGGATCATTTCTCCTTTCGTTCGCTGAATACATTCGCCTAATACTGATTGAAGGATTACTTAGGAGGTGGGCATCACTCTAGGCACTGGGGATATAGCAGTGAAGACAGGCATAAATTCCCAACCCTTTGGAACTTACATTTTAGCAGAAGGAAGCAAATAATAAATATTATATATAGGTAAATTACATTGCATGGTAGAAGATGAAGTGTGTTATAAGAGAAAATAAAGCAGGATAAAAGGTCCATAGTTGGTGGAGAAAAGGTATTTGCAGTGGTGTACAGAGTAATGAGAAGGTCTCACTGAGAAATGCTGTTTGCTGAAAGGCCTGAAGGAGTGAAGCCCTGTGGATGCCTCAGGGGCAGACTGTTCAGACTAAGGGAACAGCTAGTCCTCCCAGTGGCCACTTGATTGGATGGAAGGTTGAGTGGATAGGATACATACATGCATGAATATCCAGCTCACAGTCTCCTGGTCTTCTCTCCTTAGGCCAGTCTCCTTGGTTCCTAGGTGCCATGAGGAAGCCTCGCCGGAAGTCGCGGCAGAATGCCGAGGGCCGGCGTTCCCCATCCCCCTACAGTCTCAAGTGCTCACCCACCCGGGAGACCCTAACATATGCCCAGGCCCAGCGTATTGTTGAGGTGGATATTGATGGACGCCTGCATCGTATCAGCATCTATGACCCACTTAAGATCATCACTGAAGATGAACTGACTGCTCAGGATATCACCGAATGCAATAGTAACAAAGAAAATAGCGAGCAGCCTCAGTTCCCAGGCAAGTCCAAGAAGACTTCATCCAAGGGCAAAAAGAAGGAATCCTGCTCTAAGCATGCATCTGGAACTTCCTTCCACCTCCCACAGCCCAGCTTCCGTGTGGTGGATCCAGGCAGCCAGCCTGAAGCACCCCCACTGCCTGCTGCCTATTACCGCTACATTGAGAAGCCACCTGAAGACCTGGATGCAGAGGTAGAGTATGACATGGATGAGGAGGACCTTGCCTGGCTGGACATGGTGAATGAAAAGCGGCGAGTAGATGGGCACAGTTTGGTGTCAGCAGACACCTTTGAGCTGCTGGTGGACCGGCTTGAGAAGGAGTCATACTTGGAGAGTCGCAGCAGTGGGGCACAACAGTCACTCATTGATGAAGATGCCTTCTGCTGTGTATGCCTGGACGATGAATGTCATAATAGCAATGTCATTCTCTTCTGTGACATCTGTAACCTGGCCGTACACCAGGAGTGCTATGGTGTACCCTATATCCCCGAGGGCCAGTGGTTATGCCGCTGCTGCCTGCAGTCTCCCTCTCGGCCTGTGGATTGTGTCCTCTGCCCCAACAAGGGTGGTGCCTTCAAACAGACCAGTGATGGGCATTGGGCCCATGTAGTATGTGCCATCTGGATTCCAGAAGTCTGTTTTGCTAACACTGTCTTCCTGGAGCCTATCGAGGGCATCGACAACATCCCACCTGCCCGATGGAAACTCACCTGCTAT